GCTGGGTTTTATAAAACCTTTTCACTTTAGGCCTCCGCCGCCATGTGCAAAAAAAAAAATATGATTCAATCAATCAGTTTCCACTTCTCGCGGGGAAAAAAAAGATCTCGCAAAGTTGGAATTGATTGATTGAACTTTTTAGTCCCACCCAGTCTGCCGTTACTACCGCAGCCACGCCCACCCAATGGGCCACACCCACTCAATTGTGCCACACCCACCCAATGGGCCACGCCCACCCGGCACCCGACGATACATAAGTGGGTTTTGGGTTGCAGTTTGGGCACTCGGTCTCTAAAAGGTTCGCCATCACTAGACTCAAACTGGAGTCCAAGATATCTCCAGCTGAGTCCACAGCTGGACTGTGAAAGGTCCAGAGAAGCCGTGGCTAGCTGACATTCACGGCTGGCTGAAGGATTCTGGGAGTTGGAGTCCAAAAGTTGTCAAGGGGCCATAGCGGCCCACCCCTGACCCAGGGTGGAGTTTGGAGGGAGGAGGAGGAGGAGGAGGAGGAGGAGGAGAACGACTTTGGGGTCCTGGGTGCTCTCTGTGCTTGGTGGTTTTCTTGCAGACATTTCATGACCCAAACTAGGTAACATCATCAGTGCTGGTCTCTTCAATAATCCCAAAATTTGATCTTTGCAGTTTGACCCATTTTTTTTAAAATTATTATTATTTCCCGAAGACCATCATTATGAAACTCAACAACAAGATGCAGGTCCTGCCTCGTTGGCTCTCTCACAACTTCCTGGGGTGGGACTTCTTTCTCGCCCTGCCAGTCCCTCCATACCCCCCACCTCCCTCCCCCCATAAGGCAAGGTCTGACCTGGTTGGTGGACCTGCTCTCCAGGCTGAGACCCTCCAGGAATTCTGGACGTAGGTCTCCGAGTTGCCCAAACAGGTTGAGCTGCTCAACGTACTTCAAAAGGGTTTCCTCTCTAGAGCTCGGCCCTTCCAACTCCTGACTTTCTGCGGAGTACCGGAAGTATGGAGAGGACCCCTCCCCACCCCCATCGGGCAGCCTTTAATTCCCTTTTCACGCCTTCCCCACCTGCTTCTAGACCCCTGTTGAGATTAAGGGCAGCTGGAGCTGACAGCCTCTCCGGCCCTGGCAATCTTTTCCTACAGACCCAGGAAATTAAACGCCTGGTTGGTTGACTCGGAGACTTTATAATAATAGTAGTAAAGTTGGAAGGGACCTTGGAGGTCATCTAGTCCAACCCCCTGCTCAGGCAGGAAACCCTAGACCATTTCAGACAAATGTCTGTCCAGTCTCTTCTTAAAAACTTCCAGTGTTGGAGCATTCACGGCTTCTGGAGGCAGGTGGTTCCACTGATTAATTGTTCTCACACTTCAGGAAATTTCTCT